TATATATATATATATGAGTTAATTGATGTCATACATACATATACATACATACATACATACATACATACATACATACATACATATATATCGATCGGTTGCATGCATGTGTGTTTGCGTGTAGATGCATAAATACATATGTGCACACGTATATATACATATATATATATATGTGTGTGTGTGTAATGTGCACACATGCATATAAATATATATATATATATTTATATTTAGTATGTGTGTATATATACATGTATGTTCATGTTATATATATATATATGTATATATGTATATGTATATACATATACATACATATATACATATATATATACACGTGTATATTGTCACAATATGCATGTATATATATATACACATGCATGTGTGTGTATATATATATATGCATGTTATATATATATATGTGTGTGTGTATTCATGTGTATATGTATACATACGTTGGGCGCAATGCCGCATGTGCGCACCCAACCATGTTTAATTAACAGAATCTATTTATCTAAGCAGAGCCATGTTTAATTAAGCAGAAACACTGCTTAATTTAAGCAAGAAACGTGTATTTAAGCAAGGTTCATGTTNNTTAAGCAGACAATGGTTAAACAAGCGATTTTTTTAAGCGAGAACAATTTAAATAAGCCCGAATTTCTTAAATAAGCACTTTTGGAATTTCTGGGTAGAGGCAATGTCAAGGGGCATGCCAGTCGAGGCACGCAGCTGTAGCGTACGCCTAGGCTGTTTGGGCGCAAAAAGACTGAGTACCCGAAAGATGCCTATGTATCCCTTGCAGGCCACCGCCTCTTGCAAGCGTTGGGACAGCTTCTGACAGCGGAGACGCTGGCAGTGCCGTCTGAGCACCCGCTGATGCCGCTGCAATGTGCTTAACTCCTTCCAACGCTGGATAAAATCTCGAAGTGAAATGCACGGTTGTTGCCTACCTCGTTTGACTATGTCGCGTAGGCGCCACAATTCTGTGACAGATTGGCAGCGGTGCTCAGGTGTGGCAGGCCGGCGCAGGTCTGGCAGGTGCCGGGTGGCACGCGCCCACGCAGCTTGAAACAGGCGATCCGAGTGCGCTTGCGGTTGTGCCAGTATCTCCTTCTGGATCTCAGCTCGGAAGGCTTGCTCTACTTCAGGATGTTGTTCACATATTTGTTGTACCTTGTGTCTTTGCAGTTTGGGTGTGGCACGGGAGTTTTGGGGTCGGGAAGGAAGTGGTACACTACCCAGTAAAGGCAGGTGTCTCATACCTGTGGCGGGCACAAAGGGTAAGGGCTTAGGTTAGGGGCAGTCTTACGAGATTCTGGATCGGCCTGACTTCGGCGTGTCACTGCAAAGTCATTTTGGCTGTGACCCGACTGGCCTGCCGGCAAAAAGGTGCAGGAGCGGCGACCCTGTGGACCCCAGGTGTTGAGAGCTACTAAATCGTGGGTACGTAAGATGTCTTGCATGGTGGTGGAGTCTCCTGCATGTCCAGCACTGCGTTGATAGATGCCTCTACCAACCAAGGAACCTTCAGGTTGTAAATCAACATTTAGGTCTCCTAAGAGCAAAAGCTGATTACGGACAGGCAGCGCTGCGAGAAGTGTGGACAGACGGGTCCACAGTTCAGCTCGCTTGGAGAGTACCGTTTCCCGGTGCTTCGCCTTGTCTGTGCATTGCTTGGGGAGGGAGCACGCATGCTGATAGCAAACTACAACGTCTATGTTGGGTTGTGTGGTTGATGGATGAGTCTCTAAACGTACATGCAACAACCGGCCGGGGATGACCTCACAGTGCTGTATCTGCGCTGGCGGGAATAGAGATTTAGACACTAGAAGGAGTAGACCCCCCTCGGGCCTAGTCTCACCACAATGCAGCGCGGCAAAGCGGCCGGTCACGTATTCTAGCGGGCCTCGCCAGTGCGTTTCCTGCACAGCAACTAAGCCCACTCTGCGTCCCTCGGCGGTGTCAAGCCACGTGTTGAGTTCAAGATTTCGATCAGCGGTGAGGCTACCTGCATTCCATGATAGAAAATGTATTCGATCGGTCTGGGAAACATTAGACTGTGCAGAACGTCGGGGTGGTGGGGCTCGTGGTTCAACACCAAGTTGCTGAGCACTGAGCCTCTGTCCTCTGTACATTGTCCTGCCGTGTTGCGATGCTCGAGCACGGGCCCGGAGAAACGCTCTCTTACGGGCGGGTTTGGGATGCCTAGGGTTGCAAAGAAAGACACCGTTGTGGTTCGCTACATTGGGGCTTGAGTGATGAGCATTACGGAATTGCCCCCAACCCTCGTGTCTACAGGAGTCGGCATAGCAGCTACACTGCGAAGTTGTTGACAGAGCATAGTTATGCCTAGGCTTCGAAGGCTAAGGCGTGCCGAACCCCTGTTCCTGGACTTGGGACCAGGACGGCCTCTCTGTGGGTACGGGCTCGTGGGCTTGATTGACTGTGCGAAATGAAAAACTCTGCAAGAAAACTGTACAAGCAGGCTCTTCACAGCTGCAGTCTGTCGACTGCTCAAAAGAAAGGTGGCGGCTGTACGTCTGCCTCGTCGACGAAGAAAGCGACTGCCGCATCGACAGCAGCAGGTGGGTCGTAGTTTGCTGGGCCTGAGATGTCTCCCAATATCCACGCGCATTCCGCGACGGCAGTTAGACCTCAGGTCCCCTTGATCCAGACGACCGCTCTGCGACTGGTTGAGCACGGTGCGGGTAGTTGTGGAACCATTGCTGAAACTCCAATCGTCCATCGTCATCCAACAGTGGGAAGAGAGCCAGCAAGGTGGGGATGTAGAACAAATCCAATCCCCGGATGTAGTCCACCATGTAACTCGCCATGTGGTCCGCGCTTGCTGCATCCATGTGTCGGCGAAGACTTTGTCTGAACATACGGTCCATGTGCAGGAGGCATACATGCTTCGGAGGATCCTCGAAGGATCCCACACTGGCCAGCCAGGCCACATCGTTCTCCGGAACTCCCTTATTCCAAAGTTCGGCCAAAGCTTGGTAAGCCGTATCCAGGCGTGCGGCAGGGACTTCATCCAACTGTATGTAAACATAGGCATACAGGTCGCCTGGGTCTTGATTGCCGCGGCTGCGACGCTGCGCAGCATATTTGGCCGTGGAGACACGCTTGTTCTCGTGGTGGAAGGTGAGGTGGCCGGCCAGAAAGAAGAAGCATAGCTCTCTGAGAGCCATGACCGCATTCTTTTCCAGGAAGGACGGGTAGTCGGGGAAGGCGTCCGGTATCTGGAGGCTCGGTACTGCTGGGGCCGCCACTGGTGGATGCTCAGGCATGGGCCCTGCGAAAGCGGGAGCCTCCCTGTTGTCCGTGGATCCAGTTGCACTACCCATGGAAGGATCCATAGCAGCATCGTCGTCAGTACTGACATCACCAACAGTGAAGGCATCGCTGTCGGTAGCCTCGTAGCTTTCATCTCTCGACGAGGAGGTGTCTGGCAAGGATCGTGGCATGCCCCGGCTCGAAAGCCCCACAAGCAGGCAGCCACGTGTCTTCAGTAAACCTCGCCAGAAAAATTTGCAGTGACCCACCAGATCAGGCAGCTGTAAAGACCATGCACAGTCGCTCAGGCCCCCAAACAGAAATCAGGATTTGGGCCGAGACACTTACTACTACTACTACTAACAACAACTACTACTACTACTGCTGTTGCTACTACTACTACTACTACTACTACTGCTGTTGCTACTACTACTACTACTACTACTGCTGCTACTACTACTATCGACAACGACGACGACTGGTGTTACTATCTTCCTCCTCCTCCTGCTCCACAAAGAGCACCAGGATTTTGCATGGTCAGCCTCTATTGGGCTTTGTGTCGCATCAGTTCAACATTCAGAGGGGAGGTGTTCGACTGCTACACCTGATTGCCGTAGTTTTTGGAGGACCAAGGCATCATCGCAACTGCCAAGCATTTTGCGTTCAATGAGCAGGCCGGAGGTGTTGTGAATCTTCTTTGCCAACCAAGGTGTAGTGCTGTGCTGCAACATTAGCTGTTGATGCTACTGCCATGCAAGCAGGAGACGAATCGAATGAGTATGGATGCCCGAATGAGCGACTCTTTTTCGCATATGCTTCATGTGCAAGATCTGTCAACAAAACATTGTCAAAACAAAACGGGCAGGGTAGGGAGAAGTTTCTCTGATCAGTCGGTTCGTTGTGTACCTTCTGCATATTCCCGTGCCGAAACTGCTTGAAGATTCGGTGTCGTTAACTTGGTCTGAGGTTAGGGACGGTGAAGGTCCTTGTGGAGCAGTGTGAGTTCCCTAAGGAACGCAGCCAGGAGGAGCTGTATTACTTACCATTCAGGCCGGATCACGGCACTCTGCCAGCTCCGAGCAAGTCCCGTCGAATCGGTTTACAACGGATGATGGGCCGACAGGGCAGCAGCAGAGGCTGGGGTTGGTGCCGTGATGTGTGCGTACAACAAGGCCAGGGGCTTGAAGTTGCACGCCTGTGAATGCTTGGTAGTTTTGCTTTTCTCATGTGATGGAGCTTGTGATTGGATTGCGGCCGCGCTGTAGGCTACGTAGGACTCAGCCAGCGTGTGCGGAGCCATGGCGGCTATTTGGATGGTCAGCACTTGGAACAAGTGGTACACACACATTAGCCCTGACTGCTTGTGACTGACTCGATGAAGACTGCGTTGTGCGTGTGTGCGCGTGCGTGCGTGCACGCGTGCGTGCTCGCATGTGCAGTTGCTTGACATGCATCACCTGCTCCCCCATGCGAACATGTGAGTGTCTGCATTCCGTTGTCGTAAGCATGTGCAGCACGTGCCATGCAGGTGAACGGAACATATGCTTGCCAGAATTCCGAAATCCTGACTGCTGCCCGTGGCCAAGCCAAGCATCTGATGTAAACTCAGCACGTGCACATGCGTGCACTTAGTGACTCAAGAAAGAATCCGTCACCAAGGATCTGCGTGGGAAAATGGGCTTTTCTGGATTTGTCATGTCTGACTGGACTGCAATGCACTCGAAGGATGGCAGATTCAGATGTTCAACGGGCTTCAACTTTCCCTGTCAAGCTTCGTGTGCATGCAAGAACATATTCTGGCCAGGATGCTCTGCAGGCAGGACTGGATCAAGAGCAGCCCGGCATGATCAAGAAGGCGGCATCCCCACATGATATGCGCAAAAGCGCTTTGGCTGTGTTGCTGACGGAGGTGCCGGTGGTGGGCGAAGTGGGTGTGCTCGCGGATTCCGTGATCAAGACTTTGGACCCATGGCATTTTCAGTCCAGGCCCGCGCCAGGCTCCGAAACCCGTCACTTTCCCGACCCCTCGCCCAGGATAGGTCGGTGGTGGAGAATGCAGCCGTCCATGTCCTCACAGCCATCTTCCGTTTACGACTGGATCAAGACATGGGATGCACGCCTCCGAATTGCACGCAGGCGTTTCTTTCTCAATCTTTCATCGCCTGGCACGCGCCCCGAGTGCCTCGGAGGAGCTGATGTCTGACCAGACGAAAGCAACGACGCGCGGCGAGCGCCACGAGGACATCGCTCTCCGTGCTGCGACGTCCAGGCCTCAGGGATCAAGAGGCCAGAGAGCAGCGCCACACGGTGTCTGTGTGTGACATGTGGGTGTGTACCTGCCGAGTTCACGGGAGCAGGGGGTCACGCCTGTCTCTGCCTTTCGGGTTCAGGATATTGGGGTTCACACGACTGTTTCTCTGGCCATGGCACGTCAGAGAGATCCAAATTCAAAAGGATTTGGGGGCTTGGGGCCTGCAGGGGTGCTGCATCCAGCCCCATGCAGTCCCGTGTGCGACGGGATAACCAGCCTGATCTAAACAGAAAAGGATGGGCCCCTTGTAGCAGTTGATTGTTTTCCGTTCAATTTTAACAATGTTTGTCACCAACCAACGGTTCACTCCCAACGGAGAGTGTGTCGGTGGGGGTTCATGTTGTAGTGAAATGCGGCATGTTTCTTATGCAGCACACGTCCAACCGGCTTGGCACGCTGACAGCGAAGGTCCTCCATTGTTCTCTTGAAGAATGGAAACAGCCTGTTGCCACTGGACAAGGGAAAAGTTCACAGGAGTGTTCTCTTGGTGTACATTGCTGTGCAATGGTCGGCATAGTGACTGGCCACAGCCCTGAAACGATGAACCTGCAGGATCGCAGTCGTTGGGAATGCTTCGGCCGACGAGACGCACCGCACTTTTGTGGGCAAAGGCTGTCAGTCCACCACCTGTCTTGCGCGTGTGTTCTGAGAACCAACAGCAAATCTGTTCGCAGAGTTGCGGTTCGGTTTTGCGTCGCGAAGTTGTGGCGCACCTGAGCACCGGAGGCTCTGGCTTTGTACAACCAGATTCATCTGCGAAAACACCGCTGCAAGCTATTGAGGACTGAGCCGTTGTCAAAACCGGCGGAGTCATCTTTAACCTGCGAAGACCATGAAACCGCTTTCAGGAGAAAGCCGCCAAGGCAGGGATGCAGGTCCTCAAGCCCGAGGGTGCCAGCGTGGAGGAGGCACCAAACCTCGTGACGATTTCATCGGGGAAGTTTCGGATTCTTCTGCAATGGTAAAGCTGTGACTGTTAGTATTTTTGAAATTTTACTTGAGTTTCGGTTCGCTGGCTGCCAACACGGTTGCTAGCAGTGTGATTCCTGTGCCCGGGCGAGGGGTTTGGCACCCAAAGAATTGGGGGGCGGGGGGCAAACACAGGGCATTCCTGGTGGCACTCTCCTCTTGCCTTGAGAGGGCAGCCGAACAGACAGCAGACACTGTTTTGGATTTTTCATGGTTTGTTTATTGAGGCCGGTGTGCACGCAACTGTAACGAGTGCTGGCACTCTGCGCATCTCCGCATGATGCAAAAGCCGGTCATTGTTTCTGCCCCAGCTTCGGCCAGCAAGGTCATGCAAACTTGTTTGCCATGCTTGCACAGAATCCTTGACATCGCATGAAACCAGCAGGGCTTGGCGGACAACACAGGGCATGACATCAGCACTGGAGTGCAGCATATCTTATGCTGAATCGCTTTCAGCTTCTGACTAGTGGAGTTTTTGGACTTTGTGCTATGCGGGAGCCAAAAAGCTACGAACACAAGCAGCCAAGTAGAGCGTCGAATGCCCTGGCCCGGGGTCGTAGCGGTACGTGAGCTGCCGGAGGGTCCTGGCATTCCAGATCTGCTTAAACTCAGCCGAGTTGCTTCGCTCAGGCGGCCTCTCTCGCTCAATCAGTCGATGCCGTGGTGGTAGTGGTTGGTACAGAGACTTGGCCCACATGGATCCAGTTGATTCCTTTTCCGGCCTTTGCTGCCTAAGGATGCGTCAGAGGGAGTTGACAGTGCTGGCCTCACTGTTTCTCTCGGTTTTGGGTTGGACTTGGAATAATCCACAGGATTGCCATGATTAAGCACATATCCTTGACAGGAAGCTCGCTCGGGCTGGGAGATACCAGCCGCGTGCCTGCACTGCCCGCGCCTGCAGCAGACTGAAGCTGAAGAATCCCTGCCCAGAGGCGAGGCCATGATCAAAGCCGTGGCCGCCCATGCGCCAACGATTGTTCTTCTGCAGATTCCTGGAGCCGCTGGACTCCCAGACGCCGTGTGCTGGGGCTGTTTGCAAAGCAAATGCGTGTGCAGTGCGTGTGCATGATCTTAATCATTCATCCTGCGCAGTCATCTCGGCCTTGATGTCGTTCAGACCAAGCGTGGCATCAGCTGCAAGATTCTGAAAGCCATCGACAGACGGCAGGGTTCACAGCAAATGTGCTAGGAATACATAAACAGAGTTGTACACTTCCTCTTTGCGGGAATTAACAAGTAAGTCTCTTGACCCTCGTGCTTGATGAACGGCTCCACTCGGCACTTGTGCCATATGGAGCGACATGCCGGGTGGGTGCACATCGGCAAGGGGTGGAGAAGCCACGAATGCTGCGGGTGGCCTGGCTCACAGTGACATTACTCAATTGGATTATTACCTCTTGCAACCTGCCGGGGTCCAGCTTGCATACCTCATGCTTTGCTGACGTGTTCGCAGGAGGTCCAGTATGTCTGAAGTTGTGAGGCAGTGCTCGCTCCCGGATTGGCCTTGAGATCCTTGCTGGCATCAGTTGGTGCCACTGTCGAAAGCTGCAGTTGTAACTGCAAGCTGTCGCCTTGCGAGCAAAGGCCACGGTTGGTCAAGCTGTCCTGCCGGCTCCGGGCTCATGCTAAGTGGCTGGAAGCATTTCACAGCATGTTGTAAAGCCTGTGGAAGCCTTCTGCGATCTTGTCCTTTGAACCTGTGGAGAGAATCTCCCACGGCACAGCCCAGGCACCAGCACCTGTGCTCCCTGCCCTGCTGGTACATGGAGTCCTCCGAGCAGTGCCAACTGCAGTACATGCAATCCAGGGCGATGGAGTGCCCAGGAGAAGAGGGAACGATAGCGGACAGCAAGCCCGCACAAGCCCCTTGCAGATGCAGTCGCACTCGCGCATTCAGTGGAGATATTGTAGTCGGCGCTCTCTTCCTTTGGTTGTTCTTGTTCGAGATAGAGCGAGGAGGGTGCAGCAGAAGAAGATGACTCTCGGCACAGCAGCTTTAGCGTGACGTTCAACATGACTGGGCCAACGATAGCCGCTTGCCGTCACATCATTCATTGGCCTGCACAAGGTGTGCGAGCCATGCGCGAGAGGCCCTCCGGGTTCGTTGGAGGGTGTGCCAAAGCATGAGAGCATGCATTTTGTCATGTCTTGCCTGTGGAGCAGAGCGGAGCAGAGGGGTCGACCTGGGAGGCAAGTGGAGCAGCCAGCATGGTGCTGTCCTTGAGGCTAGCGGCATGACCAAACAGACTCAGAGCACTTCTCAAACTGCGTTTCTAGTGGTTGCTGTTGCCTGCATGCGCTCCCTGCAGGCTGCTTGTCAAGACTGTCCGCACGGGCGTTGGAGCGGTGCGCTGGCAGCGAGTTCCTTCTCAGACTGCCAGCTTTGCCCGGCTGGAAGGCCGGAGATGCTCGGAAGGTCTTCCTTTTCATCCCGAGGAAATGCTGTGAGCAGCTTCGCAGGTGGAGCCATACATGGGGCAGCACCAATAGCTCCGTCTGTACCCTTTGTCCGGCAGGAACGCTGCCTGTCAGCAGAATGCAGGTCCTAGGTAATCACAGGTTCAATCAGGCTCCAGCTCGCAACTCATGTTGACCCTATACCTGCCCCGCGGTTTCAATCATGCGGGCCGTTCATGCCGGCTCCTTGCATTTTTAAGTGAAGGTATGGGCCACACCAGGGACAATTTCAACAGAATGCTTGCCATCGTTGTCCGGCTGGCAGGTGGAGATCAGAACCAGGCCATGCAATTTAAACATCAGGTTCTGCACATGTTCCCTCAGCTCATGATCCAAATCTTCCTGAGGTGGGTCTTCAGTTGAGAACTGCAGCCGCTGCCCAGTGGGTACGTGGAGCAATGTCTTCGGAGCAAGCGTGCTTCTGCTCGAAAGAATGTTTTTGGTCCCCTCCACCACCACTACGGACCACGTCTCTGGACATCCTCCCTACGCTGCCCTAGACCCCGGTAGCAGGGCACTCGATACAGGTACACTTACATGGCCATGCCGATGTGATACTAAGCCTACTAAGCTATATGAAAGGATTGTCTCACGCACGCGCGCCCTCACTGTTTCGTTGTCAAAATCGGTGGAGACGCCTTTCTATGTTTGTTGTTGCCTGTGCTTTTTGGATTGGGGTGGGGGGGTTCGTGGCTGGGTGGGGAAGGGTGGCCTGGAGTGGCAAGTTCGTGCAAGTCTCTTGACAAGACAGCTACCTGAACCTACCCGCAATTCAAAGGCGTCTACTTACCAAATGCCACAACTCTTTACGTGCATTTGGGCTTCGACGCCATGTGATATACCGGGGGAAACCGGAACAAATCTTGATATTCCTTGATTGAAAAAGCATAACAACTTGTAACAAAGTAAAAATCTCACATATTCGGAGAAAATGTATTAGCATATTGTAATACGTGATGTATGCTCCTTAATTATCGGTCTGGTGGGTTAGGAATTGGGGGATCAGTTTTCACGAAAGAACATGTAAGAACAGCCGCGATGCTTTGGTCCGTGTTTCGATCGTCGGCGTGGGGAAGTTTAGATCCTTCGACTGATGCTGGCATGTGGGGTCTCTACGCACCGGGTCAGCAGGAGGGTCTTCTATGCTCTCCTATATGATGATTTGTCGAAGCATCGACTGATACGCAGTCATGAATTTTATGCACGCACGTGCTGGTCGGGCAGGAGAGCATGTGCAGGGGAGTTGAGTTGCATGTTCGAATTATGCATTATGCATCCCTCCGATGTCTGCTTTTTCGGCTCAAGCTTAGGGCATGTGCATAGGGAAGGCAGAAGATAACCAGCTGACAGAGTTTTTGCCCTTGCAAGCAATGGTCGCAGACGAGGAGTTCGAGCTGCATAGCTTAGTACGACTGTTTGTTACAATTCTGCGGCCTGCAGGGTCGCTCAAGATCGAGATCGGCACGCCCGGTTCGCCTGGAATGGCGATGGTGTTGGAAAAGTTTTGGGCCGGAGAGAAGCAGCGACTTGCACGCAGACGGTTTTAACATGCCAGGTGTGAAACCGTTTCTTTGCTTTCGTGGCCAGGACTGGCACTGGATATGGTGGAGACATCCCCGTGATGACTGAGCCGTCCAAATGTGTGGTGCGACCTGTAATTAAGATTTCCAAGCGGGGCCAGCGAGCCACACCCATGGACTCATGAATATGCAGTAGATCGATCCCTGAAGGCAGCCTGAAGGGAACGAAGCAAAACGAAACTGCTTCAGTGCTTGAACTGGGTCTGCATGGCATCCCTGCATTTTGAGCATGCTCATGCACTGCTCTTATAGATGTCGGCTCGAGCTTCTAATAGCGATCGATCCTCCTCTTTTTCCAAGGAGGATCGAGCTTGTTCATCGGCATGTCGTTGTCTCAGCCGACTAATACGTCGCCGGTTAAGCCCCGGGCACCGAACACTGCCAGCGACGCATAGGTACAGCTTAGGAGCAACCTTCCAGGTCTTGGCACGGCATATAAGGACACAGATATGGAAATGGTCGTAGCGGGATACGAAAGTTTCCCGATGGACTTCCAGAAGGTGTCCAAGCAGTTGACGGGTTGTGCGCAGAAAGTGTTCGAGAAGGAGTCTGCCTCCGATGTGGACATGTTCGGGCGACAGGTGGCCTCCTGGTCGTAAAGCAACGCGAGCGACGGAAAAGATCGGCCTAGCGCTCGTTCCCTGATATAGCGAGTGAGAATCTGAGAATCCCACCGTGGCGATAGGCCCCAGCGAAGAAAGCCCCTCCGCGCTGATCAGCAGGTTTCTGTTGTCCCTGATCGGGCAGCAGATGAACAAGCTGGACAACCTCTTCCCGATCAAGGCGTCCCTTCTGATTTAAGGGCGCTTGTGCGAGGCCTTCCGGATCGGCGCCACCGTCCGCAGCGGAGAGGAACACGAACGCAACTGGATCAGCTTCGTTCGGTCGACTTCAGTGATTGCCGATCACGGCATGCGGCTCACCGCAGACCATGCACAAATGCTTGAACCTGCAACTATCCACATGTAGATATGCAGCCGAGCGACGAGTTTAACGTAATGACACCGTCGAGCGCCTTGCACTTTCTTGGCGGCGTCGGCGATGAGGCCCTTCTTCCACTTGAACGACGTCTCTGAGCTCGTCTAGGTGATGATCACTGGATACCTACGCAGCGGTTCGAGGTCGTCCAGAGAAATGATGTCAAGGGGGGGTGGATAGCGCTGCCTCCAACGGGATCAACATGGCTACACGCGGTCACGGACAAGCTCGTCGAGCTCCTTTCTACGGATGCTTACGTGACGGCCATCCAGGGGCTGCGGTCGCGGCTGCCTGATCAGTTGTTGCAGGGCTGGGTTCTTGATGCGCTGGAAATGGAGTGTGGTCGCACTAAAGGATACAGCTACTGGCAAGGTCGCTCTTTTTGTGATGGTCGGCCACTGGTTCGGGCTGGTTTCCACGGTCTACAACTACCACCGCCGCTCGGCGGCGATCAACGACATCCTCCAGCGGGTGTTCACAGTGGCCACGTTTAATTTCGATGACGGCAAGTTCAGGTTCGAGCCCGCGAGCACTGCTGAAGAGGCGTTCGCGCTGGCAGAGCAGGTTCACTGGTGGTTGGGCACTCGCTTTGACCGACAGAAGCTCCAGGTGTGGGGAAGAGTATCCTTTCCAGCGCTGCTTTGGTAAGTCAGAGCGAGAAGGCCAGTTGCAACTCTCCATCGCTGACTTGCGCGGAGAGACGGTCCATGATCACTCTGCCAGAACCTTAAGCGTCGTGTCTGAGCCTGGGAGTGTGGTTTCCACCCCCATCTTGCAACTGATGGGTTAGTGACCTCCGCTCCCATCCTGCACATGTACAACTTTGTCACTGGGTTCAGGCGAGTGGTCACCACTGAGTCACCACTCCTGACTTGCACGTGCTCTCTGCCTTGCTCGAGCTACCGCTTTACATCATTGTCGAGCCCACCCGGTCCCAAATCCGGGCAGCGCAGCGATACCACGAGGACCATACCAAACACACTTATGCGCTGGAGGTGAGGGTTCCCACCACACCAACGGTGGTGGGGGGGGGGATCCAAGCTAACAAGCTTGACCTGTGTTTTATCGGGTGGAGAAGTGAGTGGGCGGCAACACGCACTCATGAGCCGGGCCCTTAGGGGCGCTCATTCTTAAGGAGTGGCCGAGATGGAATTCCAACCGGCTTTTCTACTCCGTCTTTGATTTGAATTTGGGAAGTTTGCACAGCAGTTTCAATTTCAGTTGAAGTGTGGTGATCATCAGTGTTTCGAGTGAACGAGTATACTTTGCCTCATTTGGCGGTTGACACTTTGTATTTCTGGATGGTTTGGTTATTTATGGCTCCTTTGTTTCAGTGCATGGGTCTCAGCCCCAGACGGCAACCTTCTTCTGTGATGGCAATGAGACGGCTGGCATGAACGAAGGCACAGAGTACCTGAAGATTCCTGTGGGACCCATAACAGCTAGTGCAGAAACAGTTGCTGTGTGATAGCGCTCCCTTCACTCTTCTGCAGTTTACCGTCGTAGCTGCCTTTGGCGCTCCGGTATTTGCGGAATGGTGATGCAGCTTACGATCACAAGCGTCCTTGGTTTCTGACGTTTCTGACACTTCTTCTTGAAAATATTCGTGCCATGCCACAAGCAGCCGCGGTCCTGACACACTGAGCTGGAGTGAGAGTGTCTGCTGAGCAGGGTCTGAGGCCTCCTGCCCTTTGCAAGGTGTAGTAAAGTTGCTTACTTCCAGTGTAAGGCCGGTGCTAATGCCAACAGAAGTTCTTGCGGCAGACGTTGTCTTTGCCTGCCTGCAGCCCATGTGAAGCGCGGTTGAGTCTTTATAGCTAGCCTGGTCTGAGGTCTCCTCCCCCTGACTAGGTGTACAGCTGAGTACTTCACCGAGTCGGCTGCTAGGGTATAGTAGGTCAGAGTAAGGCAGAAGAGCTCGCTGCCGTTTTGCTTGAGATTGCCCTGCTGAAGTTCTTGCAGCATATGCTTTCTCTACATGCCTGCAGCCCATGTGCAGAGTGGTTAAGCGCTTGACACGTACAAGGTCTGAGGTGTCCTCACCCTCGCTGGCTGTACAGCTGAGTACTTAACCGGGTGGGCTACCTGTGTAGAATATACTAATGTTGGGTAGTCGAGCTCACTACTTTCCGTTTTGTTTTTGCTGTGCGTACTGCATTCGGGCCCCCACTTTTTTTTTCCTAGCGTTGGCGGTCCCCGGCGGCTCTTGGTAACGTTGGCTCTCGGTTGAGGGTTTGGGTTGGCTCTCGGTTGAGGGTTTGGGTACATAGAACAGAAAC